GAGACTCTGTTTCAAAAAAAAAAAAGAAAGAAAAAAGAAAGGTATGTACATTACTTTATTTGATATTCACATAAGAACAAAGCATAACTTTCTTTGAAGCACAAGTCAAGGAGTGGGTAAAACAACTCCTTTTAGTAGATGGCAGATAAATAGAATGCACAGGCAGGATTAACTATGAAGCAGCTTTACATAGGCTGAAATTCAGGGGAGAGAAAACTTCAAGTGAAATAAAGTCTTGCTGCACAGAAAGACAGTGGCAAAGCCTGGGTCGAGGATGCTTGAATGACTGGGTTCAGATTGGATCTAATCATTGAGTTAGGTCCTTCAACTGCATCTAGTTGATTCTTTTAGAACAACAAAGGAGTATGATATTTTGGTTGTTAGTGGTGACAGTGTCATTTTTGTTGTATCTGGGAATCTGCTTACAAGAATCATGAGTAAAATTAATCAGTTATGCTGAAACTCCAAAGGAGCATTAGATTTACATCTAGTTCTCATTTCTGTTAAAGATTGACACAGTAGAAAGTTCACTGGTATATTTCGCATTTTAAATAACCTACTAAAATGTACTGTGTGAACTGCAGAAATGCTCTTAGTCTTTAGAATGCTGTGTTCAGTGGCTCAAATTGACATACTTTCTATGGAGGCACAGGACACTTAAAACAACAATAAACAGGGTAGAGTTTACCTTTTCCTGGGAAGTAACATGTTGAGGGGCTGGGATAAGATGAAAACTTCTAACAATAAATTAGGGGGTACTACTAAGTGTCCAGTTTTCTGTATTTAAGAAAAAGAAAACAAAACACAGAGTTCTTTAAATTGGTTTGTACACTTGGTATTTTGTACAGTTCCTCTTGTTCACCCTTATACGATTGCCTTCTTTTCCCACAGATTCCATTTTTCTCTTCACACCGTTGAGCTTCGCTACCCAACTTCCTCACTTCACATTGGAGAAGAGCTTCCTGTGGTTGTGATGGGGCCTTTAATGCTGAATGCAATCCTACTTCTTTTGGTTTTGATCAGATGGGGCTGTCAGCTACTGTTTGCCTCCTGCCCTGATGTCTTGTCAAAGTTAATCATTACCATGGGACTATGGACAGTTCTAGACCCATTGGCAGTGTTTATAGTGGATACTCTCCTGGGGGTAAGTCAAATGAAATAATCAGGATATGAGTCCTTGACATAGAATTTAGCTTTAGTCCATGAATCATTTGACATGGAAAGTTTCAATCATAATGAACAATCCGTATTCATCTTAAATCGAAATTAAGTTTCTTCTGATAAAAAAGTCATGCATGTCTAATATAATCAATTTAAGTGTAATTTTAACTCTCATAAAAAAACACTTGAAAAATAAGCCAGAAGTCATGTTGAAGATCAAATCCCAGCTAGCTGTCACATTTGTAACCTTATTACAAAGAAGCTTTATTTTGTTATATTCTTTTGGTAACTTTGTTTAGGTAACTTTTTTAATATTAAGAATTTTCATAGGCAAATTTTGCAAAAAGGTAACTGCACAGTAGTTCCTTGAATTAGTTAGGTTATTTATTGACTATGATGTAGTACTCTTCTGCAATAAATACAGTCAAGAATGAAAGCTTTTTAAACATTTCTAAGTAATAAATGTATTTTAAAAAATACCGCATAAGCATTTACTTAGACTTTTGTGATGATATTGAAGTGACATGGTGCATTTTCACCCTAAAATATATATTTCTAAGATTACATAATTATGAATGATGTATTAAGGTACATAATGACATGTAAATAGTGGTAATAATAATTCCAATATTTGAAGAGTGCTCTTGTATTTTTCAAGCATCTTCACACAATGTCTTTGATTACATATTTATGACAATCCTGTAAGTTGATGGGGCAAGTATTCTTCTCACTTTACAGCTGGGAGAAACCAGATACAGAATTACACGACTTATCTGAGGCCATATAGCCATGCACACTGCACCCACGACTAGGACCCAGATTTCTGAATTCTGAGGATGATGTTCCTTCCATCATGTTAAAATCTCTACTTCAAGCTTTCAGTCAATATATTGCTTTGTGAAATCAAATGTATGTTATCCCTGATGACAATTTTTTGATTACCAAAATATTTAATTTACCAATGAATTTGGGGGCTATAATTTGAGGTGAAAATGATGTGGCTCTTAGTGTAAATTTATTACCATATCCAAATCTATTGCTTTGAATTCGCAAGGCGTGGGATTTCCTAGAGAGTGTTACTGAAACGTACTGATTCTCAAACCTTATTCTGTATCAGAATCTATTGTAGGCTATTGTAAAAACAGATTGCTGGGCCCCATTCTCAGAGTTCTTCCTCTGGTGGGTCTAAAGTAGAGCTCAAGAACTTGCATTTCTAACAAATTTACAGATGACAGTGATGTTGTTTGTCAGGGACCACAGTTTGAGGACCGCAGACATTATGGATGCATAGGAAAGCTCTGATGAGCCGACTAAGAAGATCTAGGAATAGCAACATAGGTTGGAAGATGCAAGCTCCTGCATAGGCAGGGCTCAATTGGGCATCCTTTCCTAGGCAAGGCTCAATGGGGGATCATCCTTTCCTATCCTGCCTACTTGCCGTGACCCCTGACCTGCAATTTAGCAACTTTATTGAAGCTCCATTTAAATTGCAAATGCTTTAGATTAAATCATCAAAGCAAAATTAAAGATACTGGCAAACAGTGGAGTAATTCAAGCCAAGAAACACTTTACCTTGGAGGCATCACATTTTTAAGCAATTTCAATAGGCAAAAGAAGAGACATCTGAATTTTAACTAAATTTCTATACTGTAGACCTGGCCATAAAATATCATTCCAAGCAAGGGAGCATATAGATACTATAAATTAATGAATATGACCAAATGTTTATTTATAAAATTATCTTAATGTATGAAATAATATTCCACATTTGGTATATTTCTCCTTTTAACAAGAAGAAGGAAAGTTTCATAACTGGAATGTATGTGTTTGGATTATATTCACCATACCAAGCAAATCATAGAGATGAGTGTTTTGATGGACTCTACTTGTTAACTGTGTTTGAAATCGACTCTTTTGTCAACAAAATGCTTTCAGAAAATTTGCATCCATGAAGATATCTCCTACTTTGGGTGCTATAGTAGACAGCTAAGGTCAGCAGAGCCTGTCACCATTTTTCGCACTGTGTCTCAGGCCCTAGCATGCTATTTCTCTGCCTGAGCCCTAATCTGGATAAAAAGTAGAGGAAAGATTTGCTTTCAGGTTCCCTGGGGATCTTATTAAAATGCACATTCCTGTTCTCACTTATATGTGGGAGCTAAATAATGAGTATACATGAACATAAACAGTGGAATAATAGACATCAGAGACTTAAAAAGGTGGGAGGATGGAGGGTGGAAGGGGCGTGAGGGATGGGAAATTGGCATGAGGGATGAGAAATTACCTAATGGGTGCAGTGTATACTAGTTGGGTGATGGTTACATGAAAAGTCCCAGACTTCATCACTGCACAACATATTCATGTAACAAATCTGCACTTACAGCCTCTAAATCTATAAAAATAAAAACATATTTTAAAAAATAAAACAAAATGCACATTCTGAGTTAGCAGGTAGAGCCTAGGATTCTTCATTACTGATAGACCCCTAGATGGTGCCAATGATGCTAGTTCCATGGACATACTGTGAGTAACAAGGTGCTACATACTTTGCTGAGAAGGCCTTTGCTTTCATTTTCCTGCTTGCTAGGCTGGGCTTTCGCTCACTGGGGATAGCTGGACTGCTCTTCACAAGACTGGAGTTCTCGAAGCTTTAAGTGCACTAATGTCTTGTTGATTTCATGTGAGAATTCTGACTGCTTATTCCTGAGTGGAAATGACCTCTGCCAGAAATGCCCAGAACCTGCCGACAAGTGTGATTGTTGACTCTAACTATGTAGACCATTTAACATTATTAAAATTAACTAAAACAGTGCCCCTCAAGCCCACTGGTATATCTAGTTTCTAGTCCCACTGTTAGGGATTAGCGAAAGAATCATGTGCCAAGGAACGCTCCTCAGTTCTTGAAGGACAGACCACTGTGTGAAGCCTCCATGCCTTTGAGCACCTTGACAACATGGCAGAAGAGGGAGCCTTTTGAGTTAGAAGTGGCTGTGTTTCCTACCCCATCTCTAAACTTTTTTCACCCTGTTGATTAGCACATTCTGATTCTCCAGCTGGATAACATCTACATTCCTACCTCTCTTATTCTCCAGGATAATACGGTGACTGTGGCATCGAGGATTGATGAGCAGGAGATGTAGAGAGGAATGCTGTCTGCATTCTGGGAGGACCAACTTCCAGTTTCTCCCAGAGTCCTAATGTGCATATTGAGTAGACAGGGTGCTGGGGCTCAGCCTACAGCCACATCACGCGTGAAGCCATTTGGGGAGGATGAGCAGCTGTCCCTGTGGTCCTCTGAGATCTGCTCAGAAGGATATCTGCAGCAATCTTGGAAGGACTTTTCTTGTTTCAGTTAGTTCCCTCAGGCAGATAAATAGGAGACCAGACCACTGTATCCAAGGCAGCTGACAAAATGAGCAGAACTGAATTTACTCTGAACCTCCGATGTAATCTATAGGAAAGTAACCTCCAGTGTGGCCATCTCAGAACCAGTTCATAGATCTGGAACCTGACAAAGGCTGCCTTGGATTCCAGTAGCTGTATAGAGCACCCTTCTCTCTCTCTCCGCTTGAAAAAAAAAAAAAAAAGCTAAATTGTTTTCCAAATTTGCACAAATTATTGGGCAGTTTGAATCCATCATGTTTTATTGCAGATGACATCTAATTTTGTTATCTTTTAAAAACCTCTAAAGCTGTCTGTAATCCACAGACAGACAGCATTAAAACCCTTTGGGAACCTGTAAAAATGCGCTTGGATGTGGCCACATACTGAAGCTTCAGAAGTATTGATTTAAATCTATGGTTCTCAAAGTGTGGTCCCTGGACCAACAGCATTAACATCACCTGAGAACTTAACAGAAATGCAAAATCTCAGGCCCTGCACCAAATTCACTGAGCTAGAAACATTGGGAAGGGGCCCATCAATATGTATATTAACAAACCTTCCAGGTGATTCTGATGATCTTTAATTCTTGAAAACTACTGTTCCACAAGGATTGCAGTTATCATAGGTTGAATGTCACTTGGGAGACTCAGGTTGCCTGAGTGTTCATACCTCCAGATCCTTCCGCACTTCTTTTTAGCGGACGAAGCTGAGTATCTTCTGGGTTTGAACCAGGTCACTCAGCTCAGGGAGATGCTACCTAATTTTACTGGTATTTTCTGTCTTGAATTCATTTCATGTATGGAGATCTAAAGGGAGATGTGGCAGATGAATTGGTCTGAGGCTGAAGTGCTGAGTGGCTGTTGATGTTGCTAGTAATTCTTTGCTAGTCCTTCAGTTTGTTGGTTCAGAGGTTGGCAATGCATTGATGATACTATGCTCAACAATTTCATTAAGTGGATAAATTATTTCTCTGCCTGAGCCCTAATCTGGATAAAAAGTAGAGGAAAGATTTGATACTGAATGTTTTAGTCCATCAGGACATATTTATTGAGTATATACTCTACATAAGGTTTTAAAAGATTCAGAATAAATATGGCATAATTTCTGCCCTCAATATAAATAGTGAGATAAGAATAAAACATGTAAGCAAAGATGAAAGGTAGGATGCAAACACTGTCATTCAGCAAACGATTCTTGAGACTCCACATCTTATTCTCTTTTGTGCTGCAATAATAAAATACCTAAGACTGGTTAATTTATAATGAACAGGAATTATTGGCTCATGGTTATGGAGTCTGGGAAGTCTGAGATTGAGGAACTGACATCCTAAAAGTGTTGGACGCTGCACAAATGTTTCTTATGATTAGGCATAATTGAAACCTGTCAGTAACAATATGAACCCTTGATCAATTAAGCAGCTGACCCATCATTACCTTCTCCTCCTTGCTCTTGTTACTCAATAAATACAAAGGGCTGTAGATGCTCAGCGGCCGTCTTTGCTCACTAGAAGCAGGGAGCTCTCTTCTTCTCCTCCATGCTAGCCTTCCCTTAAAATAGTTTCTTCTGTTTTTTGTTATCATTTCTATGTTCATCCCTTCGTTCAGTCTTGTAATGACGGTCTCAAGCAGTAACAATAGTAACTGCCATAATGACGGTCTCAAGTAGTACCCGTGGCAGTCAACCACGTGCAAGGGGCTTCTTGCTGTGTCATCCCATGGCAGGAGAGCAAAGAGAGGATGAGAAATGGCAAGAATTCAAACTTGCAGCCTCAAGCCCTTTTATAATTGGCATTAATCCATTCATGAGGATGGAGCCTTCATCACCTAAACACCTCCCATTAGGCTCTACCTCCCAACACTGTTGCACTGGGATTAAGTTTCCAACACATGCTTTTGGGAGACACATTCAAATGACAAACACTCCATTAGAAGTGACCATAGAGTAGTGGAAAGACCACAGAGTTGGAGTCAGAGAGAGCTGGGTTCTGGTCCCAGCTCTGCTATGTGTCATCTATTTGATGTCGGATAGGCCAGTTTACCTCTTCGGTTTTCAATGTCCTCATATGCATCATGAGAAAGTAGTAATATCTACAAATACAAAACACCTACCTTACTCTTTTTATAGTGTTGCTGGAAAGATCAAATAAGAGACTGGGAATAAACCTTGAAACATATATATATATATATAATACATATATAAACTATGTATATAAATATATAATATATATTTTATATATTATGTGTATAAATATATAAACATACTATATATTATATGTTTAACATAAAAAGAATAAAGATGAGAGTATGAGAATGAAATGATGATGCTGTGCTCTGTGAATGACACAAGATGTAAGAGCCATTGCCCCTATAGTCCAGGCTGGAATTTACAATCTAGTTGGAGAATCAACACACACACACACACACACACACACACACACACAGATGTAGTATGGGCCGTATGTGATGAATACCATTTGGGAGGCACCTGGCTCATTCTCTTATATCTTTAGGTCTTTTCTTAGAGGCCATATTTTTAGTGACACCTATTCTGAAGCAATATTTAGTGATACACTTCTATCTTTCCTATACCTCTTCTGGTTTACATTTTTCTTCATAATACCATCCTGTGATGTATCATAAACAATAAATTACTTATTTTAATCTTGCATATATGCTTACTATCATTCATGTACCCCCTTCTCACCTAAATGTAAGCTCCAAGAGGGTAGAGCTTTTGTCTAATTGTATTCCCTCTTTTATCTTCAGTTCCTAATGACACATAATAGGCATTCAATATATGTAGGTCAAAGAAATAATTAAAATATATTGGTTAGGTTATGTGACTGTCATCAAATATATATCTTTTTTTTTGGTTTCATTAATGAATCTCAAGTCTATTTCATTACCTTTAAGAAACAGCAGAAAGGTATGATGTAGAATAGGAGAGATGCATGATGACTCTTACAATCTACTGCCAAAAGTCCTGGCAGCAGTCACTCAATTTTGCGAGATAGACTGGTTAACAAGTACAGAATATAGAAATAAAAGTTTTGAGATGGTGCTCAAAGAAGCAGTAGTTGAGAATTGGAACATCTCAATTATACTCACTGCCCAATCACTAAAGTATATTTTGGTGTAGGGAAAATACAAATGAATCTGCTTAGGTTTCTGTTTTCATCTACACATGAGTGGTTTGGATAAGCTTTTTTAAAAAACGGCTTTTCAACATTTATTTATCATCATTTTAATCATCAGTTTAAAAACTAAAGAAATTCTTCCTTCTCTATTGCATTGAGAAAAGATACTTTACTTAACATTTATATTGCACATTACTTCCACTTGATATCAAGAGACTTATAATTAAAGAACATCCATATTTTATAAAGTCAAAGATGTCATATGATGATACTGTAGGTCTTTACAAATGTATATACTTTTAAAAACCCCATAGTATTGTTTTTCATTTCTAATCCAATGTAGTGTACGTCTTTCCTTGTCTAAAATAAGGACTTATTGTTAAATTAACCTAATGTAAACTTGGTTTTCAAACGCACATTAAGTAGCCTGATAACTTTTTTATAAGTTTCTAAAATAAGCCATCTCTTTTATGCATAGCACAAATTAAATTCTTATCAAATCTGCTTCAGAAAGAAAGGACTCTTTTCACCATCATATTTAATTTCTTCACATCTTGTGCTCATTAAATTCAGAAGTTAATAGTACATAAATAAAACATGGCTTTTACTTTATGAATTGCATGTCAAGTGTGTGCATGTAAAGGCTTAGAGGGAAGATGAGAAAAACCGGGTAAACCAAGCCTTTTTTCTTTTCCTTTGTGTACCAGAAGAGCTGGCAATCTTCAGTACCTGGAAGACTTATTTCAAAAACAATTTATAGGGTCACATAGTCTTTGTATATTTACTTTCACCTAACTTGATGATCAGTGTTCCCATTCTTAGTTTTTCAAATCTGTATTTGCTTTTGTCAACGGCTAACAGATAATGAGGAGACTCCCATGGCAGATGCCGCGAAGCTCTACTGGATGTTTGTAAGAACGATGCAGCCAGGCATTCTTGGCGTGGTGATCACAGTGCTGCTTTACATCCTCCTGTTCATCATTTCTTCTTTGATTTTATATTTATATTGTCTCAGGTAAGGTGCTTCAATCACTTCGTTCTTCAATGTGTTCAGCCTCCAGTCTTCTTATTGCACATTTAGGTTGTGAGGAGATGGTTAAAGAAGAGAAGTTAGAACCATCTCTACATTGCTAAGGTGAACATTTCTTTGGTTACCTGTAACACTTGTCCTGAAGACCAACCAGGAAATTATTCGACTTTAGGAAAATATTTTCCCCATTATAGAGAGAGCTAATTTTACTGTGAATTATTAAACTTGCTGCTCCAAACCAGAGACCTGTAGCAAACAAAGAGTAATCTCTTGATATCTAATAACATTCTGGGAAATTTCCTGAAAAGTTCGTCTTAAATTCTCTTTTTCTTTTCCTTCCAACCTGCTTCTTCCCACACTTTCCACCCGTTAAAGTCACCAACAGAAAAATTATTCTTCAGCTTTGATCCTGAATATCATGGATTTGGCTTGCCAAGTCATCAGTTTATGTTTGTGATGAAAGAGAAGAGAAGCAATAAATGCAAGGTAGTATAAAAAGTACTAGGAGGGCATTTTATTCTATTGATTATTTCCTTTGCTTTGCAGAAGCTTTTTAGTTTGATGTAGTCCCATTTGTCTATTTTCACTTTTACTTCCTGTACTTTTGGTGTCTTATCCATGAAATCATTGCCAAGACCAATGTCATGAAGATTTTCCCCTATGTTTTCTTTTAGGAATTTTACAGTTTCAGATCTTATATTTAGGTCTTTAATCCATTTTAAGTTGATTTTTGTATTAACATATGGTGTAAGATAAAGGTCAATCTCATTCTTTTGCATGTGAATATTCACTTTTCCCAGTGCCATTTGTAGAAGAGACTCCTTTCCCCATTGTGTTTTCTTGGCATCCTTGTTAAAGATCAGTTCATTGTATATGTGTAGATCTGTTTCTGGGCTCTGTAGTCTGTAACATTGGTCTATATCTGTCTTTATGCCAGTACCATACTGTTTTAATTACTGCAGCATTGCAATATAATCTAGCAATTCCACTTCTGGGTATTTACCCAAAAGAATTGAAATCAGAACTTCAAGGAGATATTAGCATTCTCATGTTCATTACAACACTATTCACAAGAGGCAAGACATGGAAACAGCCTAAATCTCCACCAGTTGATGAATATATTATGTGGTACGTACATCCAATGGAATATTATCATAAAAAAGAAAGAAGTCCTGTGATATGTGACAGTGTGAATACATGTGTATAAACCTTGAGGACATTATGCTAAGTGAAATAAATAAGCCAGTCACATAGTGACAAATACTGCATGATTCAACATATATAAAGTATCTAAATAAGTCAGACTCATAGAAGCAGAAAGTAGAATGATGATTTCCAGGGGATGAGGAGAAGGGTAAATATGCAGTTGCCATTCAATGGGTAAAAATTTTGGTTACAAATGATGATGAAGTTCCAGAGATCTGCAGTGCAACATTGGTATATAGTTAACAATATTGTATTGTGCATTTAATATTTTGTTAAGAGAGTAGATCTCATGTTAAGTGTTCTCACCACCATTTTTTAGCAAAGTGCCAGAAAGAGATCAACACAGGGATCTCTAGGAGCATTGAGAAAAGGAAACAACACAGATCTGGTGGAGGATGTGGGCAACAGGCAAAGATTTCAGTGGAAATATGATACTTAAGTAATCTTTGAAGCCTTAATATAATTTAGCTAGATAAAAAACAGAGAGAAGCAGGTTTGCAGGCAATGGGAAGATATATAAAGCCATATGGTCCTTCAAAAGTGTGATGTATTTGGCAAATCAAATGTATTTTGACATGGCTGGTGTGCAGGATATGGGGAGATGGCAGACAGCACAGTTAAAGTTGGAAATGTATTCAAGGACAAGATGATAAAAGACTTGACATCATGCTATGGAGTTTTGACTTTCTTCTAATGGTAAAGTGAAAACATTAAAGGATTTAACGTAACTTTTAATTTTAGGAAAATCACTCTGATAGTAGAAGGAAAGGTGGGTTTAACAGTGACCAGGTTGGAAGTAGGAAAATCTAGTTAGAAAGCCATTTTGATAGTCTAGGCAAGGAGTGTCAAAAATTTTAAAGAGAATATCACTAAACATGGAAGTTGGCATATATTTAAGAAATAGTTTTCTGCATATGGCTAGCCAGTTTTCCCAGCACCATTTATTGAATAAGAGATCCTTTCCCCATTGCTTATTTTTGTCAGGTTTATCGAAGATCAGATGGTTGTAGATGTGTGGTGTTATTTCTGAAGTCTCTGTTCTGTTCCATTTGTCTACATGTCTGTTTTGGTACTAGTACCATGCTGCTTTGATTACTGTAGGCTTGTAATACAGCTTGAAGTCAGGAGGTGTGATGCCTCCAGCTTTGCTCTTTTTGCTTAGGATTGTCTCGGCTATACAGTGTCTTCCTGGATTCTATATGAAATTTAAAGTCGTTTTTTTCTAATTCTGTGAAGAATGTCAATGGTAGCTTGATGGGAATAGCATTAAATCTATACGCTACTTTGAGCAGTATGGCCATTTTCACGATATTGATTCTTCCTGTCCATGAAGATGGAATGTTTTTCCTTTTGTTTGTGTCCTCTCTTATTTCCTTGAACAATGGTTTGTAGTTCCCCTTGAAGAGGTCTTTCACATCCCTTGTTAGCAGTATTCCTAGGTATTTTATTCTCTTTCTAGCAATTGTGAATAGGAGTTAATTCATGATTTGGCTCTCTGCTTTTCTATTGTTGGTGTAAAGGAATGCTTGTGATTTTTGCACATTGATTTCGCATCCTGAGACCTTGCTGACTTTGGTTATCTGTTTAAGTTTTGGCACTAAGACGATGGGGCTTTTTAAATATAAAGCCATGTCATCCGCAAACAGATATAATTTGACTTCCCCTTTTCCTATTTGAATACCCTTTCTTTCTTTCTCTTGCCTGATTGCCCTGGCCAGAACTTCCAATACTGTGTTCAATAGGAGTGGTGAAAGGGGGCATCCTGGTCTTGTACTGGTTTTCCAAGGGAATGCTTCTAGCTTTGGCCCATTAAATATGATACTGACTGTGGGTTTGTCATAAATAGCTCTTATTATTTTGAGATATGGTCCATCAATAACTAGTTTATTGAGAGTTTTTAACACGAAGAATGTTGAATTTTATTGAAGGCATTTTCTGCATCTATTGAGATAACCATGTGGTTTTTGTCTTTGGTTCTGTTTATGGATTATGTTTATTGATTTGCATATGTTGAACCAGCCTCGCATCCCAGGGATGAAGCTGATTGATCATAGTGGATAATTTTTTGATGTGCTGCTGGATTCAGTTTGTCAGTATTTTATTGAGGATTTTGCATCAATGTTCATCAGAGATATTGGCCTGAAATTTTCTTTTTTTGTTGTTGTGTATCTTCCCAGTTATGGTATTAGGATGATGCTAGTTCATAAAATGAGTTAGGGAGGAGTCCCTCCTTTTCAATTGTTTGGAATAGTTTCAGAAGGAATGGTACCAGCTCCTCTTTGTATTTCAGGTAGAATTCAGCTGTGAATCTGTCTGGTCCTGGGCTTTTTTTGGTTGATAGGCTACTAATTACTGCCTCAATTTCAGAACATGTTTTTGGTCTGTTCTGGGATTCAACTTCTTCCTTACACCTTATATGAAAATTAACCAAGATAGATTAAAGACTTAAATGTAAAACCCAAAGCCATAAAAACTCTAGAAGAAAACCTAGGCAATACAATTCAGGATGTAGCCATGGGCAAAGACTTCATGATGAAAATGCCAAAAGCAATTGCAACACAAACCAAAACTGACAAATGGGATCTAATTAAACTAAAGAGCTTCTGCACAGCGAAAGAAACTATCAATACAGTGAACAGGCAACCTACAGAATGGGAGAAAAATGTTGCAGTTTACCATCTGACAAAGGTCTAATATCCAGAATCTACAAGGAATTTAAGCAAATTTACAAGAATAAAAACAACCCCATTAAAAAGTGGGCAAAGGATATGAACAGACTCCTTTCAAAAACAGACATACATGTGGCCAACAAACACATAAAAAATAGCTCAACATCACTGATCATCAGAGAAATGCAAATCAAAACCACAATGAGATACCATCTCACACCAGTCACAAAAAAGTCAAGAAACAATAGATGCTGGAGAGGCTGTGGAGGAACAGGAATGCTTTTACGCTGTTGGTGGGAATTTAAATTAGTTCAACCATTGTGGAAGACAGTATGGTTATTCCTCAATGATCTAGAACCAGAAATACCATTTGACCCAGCAATGCCATTAGTGGGTATATATCCCCCCAAATATAAATCATTTCATGATAAAGACACATGCACATGTACGTTTATTGCAGCACTATTTACAATAGCAAAGACATGGAACCAACCAAATGCCCATCTATGATAGACTGGATAAAGAAAATGTGGTACATATACACCATGGAATACTCTGCAGTCATAAAAAGGAATGATATCATGTCCTTTGCATGGACATGGATGAAGCTGGAAGTCATCATCCTCAGTAAACTAACACAGGAACAGAAAACCAAACACCACATGTTCTCACTCATAAGTGGGAGTTGAACACTCAGAACACCTGGACACAGAGAGGAGAACAACACACACCAGGGCCTGTTGGAGGGTGGGGGGTGAGAGGAGGAAACTTAGAGGACAGGTCAATTGGTGCAGCAAACCACCATGGCACATGTATACCTATGTAACAAACCTGCACTTTCTGCAGATGTTTCCCATATTTTTAAGAAGAAATAAAGAAATTCAAAACAAAAAACAAATAGTTAATGCGCAGAACATAACATAATTTGATTGGAAGTTGAAGGCAAAGGAGAGGATGGTAATTAGTATAGTCTCAAGATCAGGAGTTGAGCAGGTGGGGAATGGCTGTAGAATCCTCAGAGGCAGGGATTAGATAGAAAATAAACATTTACAGGAGATGGATAACAAGTTAACTCACTTTTCTTTCATGTTGAGCTATCTTTGATATTGC